ATTTTCAGGCATTTTTTTCGATCTTATAGGCAAATTTTTCTGAATTTTAGTCCAAAGTATATATTTCAATGGTCCTAAAGGGCGTTCAAAAATTTAAAATTAAAAAGTCCTAAAGTACTTGAAGAGAGTTTAATTTTAAAAGATCCTAAAGTATTTAAAAAGAGTCTGAATTTATCCATGGATTACTTAAATTTTTTTAAAGGTCCTAAAGAGTTTGAAAAGAGCCCAAGATCCTAAAGTGCTTAAAAAGAGCTTAAATTTACCAAGATCCTAAAGTGCTCAATCAGAGTATAAATTCATCAAGATCCTATAGTGCTTAATCAGAGTATAAATTTACTAAGATCCTAAAGTACTTTAAAAAAGTATAACTTTATCAAGGATCTAAAGTACTTAACATGAGTTTACATATGCCAAGGTCTTAGAGTGCTTAAAAAGTGTTTAAATTTACCAAGGTCTTAAAGTACTTACTCAGAGTCTAAATGTATCAAGATTCTAAAGTACTTTATCAGAGTCTGAATTTATTAAGATTCTAAAACTATTAAGGTCCCAAAGTGCTAAATTTATCAAGGTACTCAAGTACTTAATCAGAGTCTAAATTGATCAAATAATAATTTTACTGAATCTTGGATAAAATTTACTTTCATTTTACTACTCTATACCATAAATTGCTACAAATTTGCAATATTTTGAGTTTCAAACATTTCCCTAATTCATAAAAATCTAATTAATAGTTCTTAACCTCCTAGATGTCACTAAATTAGTTATTAACGATAGACTCACCTTCTTAAACACAAAACACAAACATCCTGTCGATACTCCTGAAAAAAAGGAAAAAAAACTATTAACTATCTTGATCTCTAAATTGACTAAAAAGAGTACAATGCTGTTGATGTCAGTATAAATTAATAAATAATTGAATTTATTTATTTATACATACATATACACACATATATGTATGTATGTATATATATATATATATATATATATATATTTCTTTACATCTAGGATGTATATGTCCATTTCCCGGCCAGTCAGTGTTACCAACCGCGACATAACACGAGGCGAATTCAGAAAACAATGGACTGCGCGCGCTCTCTTTTGTTTTCGGAGGGAAATTCAAAGTTTCGGAATACATTACGACCGTATAGGTGAAATACCGTGTTCCGTTTTCCTTTTGTGTCGACCGGAGAGAGTGATAAAAGGGTTATTTAGTGGCAAAGAAAAGGGATAAAAAGAAATTTCTACGGTGGAGCGATGGAGCGGTGGAGAGATGTTATGTCTGGGACATTGTGACGGGGGATGACTGGTTTTGTTAAATAAAAAATAGTTAAATTATTGAGTTACGATAGAGCAAGTAATAATGATCGTTGTAATTTTGGCATACTTTAGAAAAAAAAAATTATGTGTGTGCATGTATGTGCGGATCCAAACTTTCATCGACGATTTCAGGAGAACGGATCAACCGATTTTAATGATTTAAAAAACATTGGATTCCTATTGACTAGGAGACGTGCTGCTTAGTTTTTGAGAAAGGTAGATCCAGCTGTTTTAAAGATACGACTCAAAATGCCTTACTACGGTGGAGATACTTGAAATACTATACAAACCTGGTGCTATAAAATAACCAAAAATTTGTATTACAACAATGTGCCAATGCCGAAAATATTCTTTATTATTATTTTATTATTATTATTTGTATCTCTTTCCTCTTGTTGATTTACAAATACAGAAATCCCTTGTAGTAAACTTTTTAGCTTATTCCTCCATCGCATAATAATTACAAATTCATGAATGGCTCCGCTCTGAAAAGATCTGAAGAACTTTTGTTCTGTAAGAACAAGAATTTTATGTTTCACGTTCAAGAATTCTCAGCGCGAAATTCATATTTAATTAGACCAACTTTTGCACAAATCATATTTCATTAAAATCAAATGCGAGGCAACTATTTTGCAAAACGTTATTTTCATAAACCGAAAGTTGGGTAGGTTGGATTATTATAGTTGAAACTATTATTTAGGGTAGTTTTTCTATTTTTTTAGAAGTTATTTTCTTCAGAAAAACTTCATTTATCTGAATCTATTCAGATGTTATTTCTATTCAGGTGGTATTTTTTTAGTTTTTTTTAAGAATTTATTTTCTTCAAAAAATCTCCATTTATCTACTTATTACTTATGATTGTTTTTTTTAGCTTTTAAGCTGAAAACTCCACCTGATTACTGAATTGCTAGTTTGATCTAGTCTATATGACTGCATTTATTGTAACATATGTTATATACTGAAAAAGTTTTCAATATATTTATAAGAGATTCAATAAATATATTTATAATTCTAAAAATCCAAACCAATTCAAAACAATGCTTTCAGAACACATGAGCAATTTCATAACCACACTTTTCATACTTCACAACCTATTATTTTTTATAGAAAATAAATGTGACCCTAAATGATTTATAGTCCCAGACAGCACGAGATGATCTATGGATCATCCCTAGACTATCCGCATGCGGACATTCTTCGTCCGCTTGTCCAAGCCTTATCCCTGAACTGTAACTATGTCCGCTCCTAGCGATAGCCGTAGGCTATCCCGCGCGGGATACTTCGTCCGTAAGTAGGATAGGAATAGGATAGGGATCGGACATGCATTGTAATTAATTATGGTATATTTAAATTGTATTTTCTAGCTGAAAATAATATTCATGTTTATAATATATTGAGAAAGAAAAAAGCCAATTAGTTCAAAATAATTGTAATTGTAATTAATTATGGTATATTTAAATTGTATTTTCTAGCTGAAAATAATATTCATGTTGGTAATATATTGAAAAAGAAAAAAGCCAATTAGTTCAAAATATATATTTCTCTAATATTGAAAATGAGTTAAAACATTTGTGGAACGTCTTCTGCTCGCATTTCTCTTCTGAAACATTGAACAAATAATTAATAATAATGAATGTAAACAGACACACACAAATATATATATATGTATATAATATAATCTTACAAATAATTTCTCGTGTATCGCTCATTGGCATGCCTTAGCCAACTTTTCGCAGCTTCTGAGACTGCAAATTTTGTCTCAGTTGGTATGTTCTTGAGAACTGTTTCTGTAATGAATAAAATTAATAAATTAATAAAATAGATCTTATTAATAGCAATAAAAAAGTATTTATGAAATACCAGTGATAATTTCACATAACACCATCTCGCAAAATTTATGCTTGCCTCTTCCTCCTGCCCAGCTAATTTCTTTAGCTAGACAATCTCTAAACATAGTTCTCATCAAATGAACTGTAACAGCTTTCGCTGTTTTGCCGCCTGTTCTGGCTAAAAACAGTACCTAAAAATAGTTAATCAGCGATTAAAAATAAAATATCATAAAATATTATCTGAAGTTTGTATCATTCTCATACCATTTGACTTTTCAAATTATTATTAAATATATATTGTTGCACCATTTCTACTTCCTCCATGGTCTTCATCGGAAAATATTTAAGCACATCTCTTATTGACCCAAATTGATCGGCATCTTCCACATGTGGCATTGTCTGCTTTGCCAAAATCAATTCCGTAATTTTTTCTTGGAACCCTTCCATGAATATTCTCATTTTGGCGAGCTCCTTGATAACTACATTTAAACGAGCATCTAAAAAAAAATAATTGGTAACATACATACAATTTATTAGACAAAAGTTTTAATAAATACCAGTTGAATTTTCTGCTCTACTTTCTACTCTCTCTTTCTCAGTTCTTTGTCTCTGCAAGGAATTTTCAGACAATATAGCAGGCACAGTTGGTGGAGGAGGCAAGCTTAGCCCTTGATCACTGCTCTCATCATCTGATAAATTCATAATTCTTGACTTTTTTCTTTTATTATTTCTATATCTTTCTGACTCAGATGCTACATCGGAGTACATTTCTGCTTCTCTCAGCCTTTCTCTGGCTGTGCTATAATCATCTAAATATGGAATACATTTTCATTATATACATATAAATAATATATATACATACCTCCTCATATATACATACTCACATATTCATACAGTTTCACATATAAATAATATACACATACTCACATACACATACAATTTTTTGGATATGATTAATTGATATGTATACAAACTCACACCACAAGAAGCCAAAATTCTCACAAAAGAAAATTTATGAGTTACACATATAAATAATATACACATACTCGCTACACATACAATTTTATGGATATGATTAACTGATATGTTTACAAACTCACCACAAGAAGCCAAAATTCTCACAAAAGAAAATGTATGAGTTTCACAGATAAATTTATATACATACTCACATACACATAAACATTTTTGAATATGATTATTTGATATGATACAAACTCACCACAAGAAGCCAAAATTTTCTTGAAAGGATATTTACGAGAAGAGCTCTCAGGCGGGTCCATTTTCTCTGCAGCCTTGTCAAATGCTTTATCCGACCGAAAATGGGGCCAGAGAGCTATCTTTTCATCAAATAAAATCCAATTCCGTGGAAAAACACGGATGCCGCTATCGGAAAATTCCACCACATGATAATTTCTACTCATCTTATTTGCTAAAACAAAATATAGAAATTAGTAGAATGTATAAAACTTCACGCTTAACGATTCAGGTTTTTATAGTTAAATTTATACTTACATGCCATTTTTCCCGTATAAAAATTACTTCTTGACTAGTTCGAAGAAAAAACAATAATGATCTTAACCAACAAATCTATTTGGAAAAAAAACATGTGCCACTGTTTTGAATCACTAGCGCTGACGTTCACTAAGCGGCTCCGATGAACACTAAGCAATACGATGAAAACAAATGTTGGCGCACTGTTTAAAAACAGCAACAACACCGAACTTCACAAAAAGTTATTAAAACTATTGAAACAATAACAATTATTTACAATATTTGGTATATACAAATTTAAATATTAAAAACAAAAATACTTAAAACTAATGAATATAAAAAACAGCAAGTTTAAAATCACTATTAGCATAAATGAAGCAAAGGAAGTGCGATCTTTGTATCACTTGAAGTGTCAGATATAATGAATATTTTACTTTTTATATTTTTCACAGGCCAAACTTGTACACTTGCTAGATCATACACCCTATATATCCCAATAAATGATGACCGGCAGGGTATTGTATAAACATCGTCCATCATTTTAAATCGTTGACCAATGATAACTGCTTCTCCATTTAAAGATGCAATATTGCAGATATAAATTATGGAGCCATCAATTAGAGAGCAGTATCGATCAGCTTCTCTTCTGATGTTGATTATGGCACTTCCACATTTTAGTTTTTCAAATTGTGGATTTCCGCAGGAAGTGAAAAGTGGTCCATCAAAATGTACAGTTGATAAGCATGGAGAGAACTCGATATCATTATCAAAATTATCACAATTATCTTCATACACTTTTTGCGTATGGTATTCTTGAAACTCGTGATATCTACGAGCAATTTGTTGCAGGGGCCTTTCTGGTTTTCGTATGTATTTCTTTAACGTCTGCATATAATTTTCAAATTTGAAGGCACTGAAACTTTCTAATGAACCAAATCTTCGAACATCATCTGTTAAGTGGATTAAACTATGCACATTGTGTGAAACAAGATGCTCTCCATAAAGAAGTTTAAATCCATTAACAAAATATGTTAATAAAGATTTACTATAATTCAATAAAGATTCATCAGAAAAGTCACGAGAACTTAAAATTCTTATAGCAACATGCAGAGTTAGAAAATTATTATAAAAATCTTTTGATATTATGGATTTAAGAACAATTGGGCCTGTATATAGAAGAAACTGTCTATATTCTGTAGCTTTCCACGAATTGAGGAATCTCAGAGATCGTGGGCGCCTACAAAATTCAACAGGAATATTATTCCTCATTCCTCTTAATTTATCAGATATTTTTTTAATTTGTGAAGTACCTAGTCTACACATTAAATCACCACTGATCCATATATCAAGCAACTTGCCCATAACACCTATGCATACGAGATGCATATAATCTAAAGGAACATTTGAAACAAAACCTATATTAGGAATTTCCATCAATCTTGAAGAATTGACTTGAAAATCTTCATATCTTCCATCTCTAAAAAGTTCATCAGTTCTTTGAGGAGCATCAAGTCTTGGAAAACAAACTCTATTTTGAATGTAATCACCGTCAGTCGTGCATTTCGTACAGCTATTATATCCGGTATGACCTTTTATTTGAAAAATAAAAGACTTTGCTGGTGCATCACACACAAAGTATTTGATGAAGCAATTATAATGATTTTCCTTATATGTAAGTCCTTCTCTGCACAAAACTACTGCTTCTTCAATAAAGTCTTTTAAATAATTATCCGCATTCTTAGGTTTTTCTAAACCACAATATATACCAATAACAAATACCTGCTTAGATGGTATTACAGAACCTAATATCGGCCATAACACTGTTCTAGATGACCTCGATATAGGCAAACCATCAACTGCGACTGCTAAGTTTATGTTATTATCTCCTGGCAATTTTTTATTCAAACTTTCTTTGATTCCATTGAACAAACCAAAATGAATATATTCACCAGGTGATACAATACTAGTTTCTGCTAATTTTACAGTCTTCAATAATGTTCTACTATCCTGAGGTAAATCAGAATAGCATTCATGCTCTCTCAATTGCTTTAAGAGAGCTGATAGAGCATTATGTTTAACATGGTACAACACAGCCCATTTTTTAAGAAAATCTGCAAGACAATCTGATTTTTGTTCTTCCTTTTTTTCTGGAGAAGCAGTTAATGGTGCCAAGTTATTATCATCACTATTGTTTATAATTGATTGTTCTGGTGGACATATATTAAACATCACAGATTTTTTCGGCGACGTACTAAACGCAGCGGTAATAGCCATTACTTCTTTATTCACTCGCCTTCGCAATTGTCTCTTTGAAATAAGTAAAACACTTTTAAGAACTTTTCTTGGAGCCATAATAAGTTTTTTTTAGGTTATTTACTCCAGTCAATATGAAAACTTATTATTTTAAGAATTCAAAATAACAGATTATATATTATAATATTGTATAGTATTATAATAATATTATATATATATATATATATATTACTGAAATATTATAACAAATAAAAGATCAACAACTTCATAACAAAAATCACAACCGAATGTGCTATGCATTCAACATGGCGTTGGTAACTACGTGTGATAAAAAGAGAACGCGCTAAAGTGAGAGGGGACATTCATCTTTAGGCACTGTCCCGTCTTGCGGATAAGCAAGTTGGTCCATGGGACCATCTTGCTTATCCCGATTTGGGAGTCCCGATGCGAACAACGCTAGGAAGTTCCGTGGGATATGCGCGATATCGCAACGGTGTAGCGGACAAGCGGGATACTCCCAGGATGGTCTCATGCTGTATGGGGTTATTTATAATTTATTGAATAGTTTTGTTCTAAAAGATTTAGTAAAACAATTGCACAATTCTGCAAATGACAGTTTTTGCGGTGGAGGTATAAAAATTTCGGGTTGAATTAATGAAAATAAATTTTGGCAATATTTTCACTTTTTTCCCATTATACTACTTTACTATGTGACATAATCAAGGCATAATTTTAATCTATAGGACAGCAAATATTGTGACATATATTATATACTGAGAAAAATTCCAATACATTTATGAGAGAGTAATCCAACATATTTATTCTTCTAAAAATCCCAATCAATTCAAAACAATCCTATTTCCTATCAATATATTTCATTTAAACCACACCTTCAACACTTGACAACCTATTATTATGTATTATCGGAAAAAATGTGACCTTAGACGATTTGTAGTACTTTATTGTATTGTTTTGCACTAAAAGATTTAGTAAAACAATTGCATAATTAAAATCACGGTTATTATTAAAATCACGGTTTTTGCGGTGGAGGTATCAAAATTTCGGTTCGAATTAATAAAAAGAAAATTTTAGCAATTCAAAATTTTCATTGTTTTTTTCTATTACTTTGTTTTGTAAAATATAATTAAGCCAAAATTTTCATACATTAACCTTAACAAAAATAAAATATATATAGATTTTTATGAACAAAAGTGAAGTTCCATATCAAAATAAAAGTGAAAGTTTTATACTAAAAGATCTAGTAAAACAATTGCATATTCATACAAAGTGACAGTTTTTACGGTAGAGGTATAACATTTTGGGCTGAATTAATAAAAATAAAAATTGGCAATATTTTTACAATATTTTTTTTGTTTTATCCTTCCACTTTGCTATGTAAAATAAAATCTAGCCTAAATTTATATACATTAATTCCTAAAGGGCTTAAATAGTGTTAAAGTTTATCAAGGTCTTAAAGTGCTTAAAAAGAGTCCGAATTTAGCAAGGTTTTAAAGTACTTGAAAAGAGTTTAAATTTTGCAACGTTCTAGAATCTAGAGTACCTAATGTAACAATAGTTTAAATTATCAAGGTCCTAACATATCTGAAAAGAACCTAAATTTATATAGGTCTTAAAGTAGTTAAAAAGAGTCTAAATTGAGCAAGGTTTTAAATTGCTTTAAAAGTTTAAATTTACCGAAATCATTAAGAGCATAAAAAGAACTTGAATTTACCAATGTCCTAAAGTGCTTAATTAGAGTCTAAATTTATCGAGGTCCTAAAGTGCTTAAAAAGTGTTTACATTTATCAATTTCTTAATCAGAGTCTAATTTATAAATCAAATTTCTACATAATAACCTCAAAAAAAAATATATATATTTGGAACTTTACAAACAAATATTTGACTACAAAAAAGTTCTAGGAATCAAATTTGAGTTAAAAAAGTAATTTTTTCCGACTAGCTTTCAGACTATTAAAATCTAGGCCAATGATGTAAGTAATGAAAATTGCAATAACAAAGTTATCTACTTATTGTCTAAATACGAAACTTGTTAGAAGTTGTTTGAAAATGCATTCATCAAATCTATTTTATTTTGTACTCTTCGGTTGAATTTGAAACTTTAGTTAATAAATATGAAGGTGAATGATCGATACATATACATATATATATATATATATATATATATATATATATATTTAAATCAGTATTTACATATATTAATATATAATCTACTTACAAAGTGCTATAAGACATAATAGTACTTAGCATATTTGCGTTTATAAGCAAATTCTCAATATACGGTGGAGCGTTGTATAATATATTATATATATATATATATATATATATATATATATATATATATATATATATATATATATATATATATATATAAATTTATATTTATACACAAGGGGATGAAAAGGGTGAAAAGATTAAATATTTTGAACGCGCAATCTTTTGATGTTTAATTTGCTTTTCTTCTTAAGACGCAAAACGAGCAAAAGACTTACTTGATGAATATCATAATCTTTCTTCAGTTTATATCTACAAGAGAATATCTGAGTGGAAATCTTTACAAAGTAATTAATTTTCATATTGAATCATATAGAAATGATCAAGAGGTTGTGATTAAATAATTATTTAAAATATTTATCTTGAATTATTTATTTCGTAAAAATTATTTCTATATCAAATTGTGCACGGCTTGAAATATTTTTAGATTTAATTCTTCCATTAACATATTTGCTTTTATGGTTTGAAAAAACATTCGAGATTTTTGCGATACGGTGGAGGAGTGAAAACTCCTTGTCGAAATTATAAAAATTGATCTCTGACAAATTTTTAAGTTTAAAATTTAATATATAAGTTACAATATATTGTTATTAAGTATGTCCTGGTTTGTTGTTATTTTGTCCTTAAAATTCTGACTTTATTTATTTTTTTTCAAATAAATATCTCACCTTGTTTTGCTATATAAAAATATTTATATTGAATTATATTTTTTGTGAAAATTATTTATGTATAAAATTGTGCTCATACCAAACGCGTTGATATATTTTATCTAGATTTAATTCCTTCATTAGCAGTTTTTCTTTGAGGTTTTAAAAAACTTTCCAGAATTTTATGAAAAGGTGGAGGCGTAAAAACTCTGGGTCGAAAATAGAAAAATTGATCCTAGAGACAAATATTTAACTATAATATTCAATAATCAATGCATGATATAATGTTATTAAGTGTGTCCTAGTTCGTTATTATTTTGTTCTTAAATTTCTGCCTATATATATATATATATATATATATATATATATATATATATCGAAGGTTTAAAATAACTTTCCAGGATTTTATGAAACGGTGGAGGATTGAAAACTCCGCGTCGAAATTAGAAAAATTCATTTCTGACAAATTATTAATATTCAATATATAAGTTACAATATATTGTTATTAAGTATACACTAGTTTGTCCTTAACTTTCTATTTTCTATTTATCTTTTCCCAAATAAATATCTCACCTTGTTTTGCTGTGCATTTTGAAATTTGGCGCGCTTTTACTTCACTCGGGGGCGAGTTGTTTTGTGCAAGAAATAAATAATGGCCAGAAACGATAAATACAAATAGGAAAGGGAAAAGAGAAAAATAAATGACTCACTACTAGAACACTACAATGGATAGTTGAAGGGCTAGTGGGTAATAAGAAGTTCCAGTAATTTGGCTTAAGGCACAATGCCATGCACCACTAATTTATTGTTACAACCGATATAAAATGTATTACTAAAAATATAATATGTTATGACAATATATTTTCTTATCTTCTGATTCCAAGGCAGACTTGATTGCCACATCACTCCGCACTCAGTTTTAAAGTCTAATCTGTTCGAAGATGATCGGAAACACGTTGTATTTAATTGTGTGAAAACCAAATATAAGATAGTTGTAAAGTTGACATTTTGGGTAGTCACCAATGTGTTAATTGATAATAAATTATTTCCTAACTGATATCAAAATATTTTACAAAATATCGTTTACAATATATAAAATGTCATAAAATTATATTTTGTTATCCTCTTATTAAATCTATTATATATAATAAAGGTAAATTTTACATAATT